TAATTCTGATTCAAAAATCAAAATAAATATTGAAAAGTGTCAAATAAAATTGATAATGTCACAAAAAAGTGAAATGGAACTTTTCTTATTAAATAATTGCAGACATTTCTTCTTTTCAGTCATTACAAAAAAAAAAAAATGGTTAACCTAATGACGCAATCAACAAATTTTTTTGATAATCCATCTTTTAGTAACTTTTACTTTGAATCTAATTTTCCATTGGTTGAACTGAATTCTGAAAGAGAAAACATTAAACCGACAAAGGAAATGAAAACAGCGGTAGTCAATGCTTTAAATGATAAGAGGCCATACAAAAAATTAATTGAAATATTCGATACATTTGGTTATTTATTGTCTCAAGAACTTATTCTTGGTCAAAAAAAATATACGAGAGAAAATAGATCTTTTCAGTCAACAACTAGAAATCGAAAAAAATTATTCATCAGAGCTTTTTGATTTATGGGAAGATTATGTTGAATTTGATGAAAAGTACTTGATGTCAATAAATGGGGAAGCTGTTAGAAAACCTGATATTGAAAAATGTTTAAATAAACATTTAAAGCAGGATTTTAAATTATTAAGGATCATTTACCGGAGTAAATTACTTCCATTATATGAAATTTTTGGTGAACCGATTAGCCGCCAAATTAAATCAGTTTTAGGAATAGACAATCTTCCGAAAATTCTTATGACAGGGATTGTACAAATTTATGAAAATATTAAATATTATAACGTAGACTTTCCCTTTCATTTAGCAAGTTGTAACTATCATATTTTTGCGAAGGTAACTAAATCTAATAAAGAATCATTTGACGTGATTGATAAAACTATTGTAAGAATACGGTCCGGTAATCATACTGGTTTTTCGCAATAATTGAAAAGTTTGACGAGATCAAAGTACAATATTTATTTTTACTCCTTTTAATAGTGATATAAACCCAGAAGACTTACAAATTATGTGGATACTAGTTGGTTTTCCCGATGAAATCAACTTTTATAGTCTCTATACACGAGAACTATCTATTCTTAGTATGGAAAATCAAGATATTGATAATGGTAAAATAAGCGTATTAGTAGGTGTTCCCGAAAATTTACCAAAAACTCTAGAATAGTGTTATAATCTTTCGGAAAACCATTAAAAACAAAATCTACAAGGCTTTCTGGTGCAATTACAGTTTCTTGATTAATTTTTATAATTTTATTTCGATTTTTATTCTTTTTTTGTTTATTGTTAGTGGAAATTTGGTTACAGTAATAACATATACAGTATTTTAGAATAGTGTGTTTATTGGACCTTATGTTTTTAATAATCGCTTTGTTTTGATGATGATCGTGGAACCGGTTCTAATAATTCGGGTTTATCACATGAATTTCGTGATATTAAAGAATTTATTAAAATTTAATTGGATAAATTTCCATAATATCACAAGATTTACGTGATAAACCCGAATTATTAAAACCGGTTCCAACCTCTAGATCGTACAATGATGTAATTACAATAATAATTAAAACAATGCCTTTTTTTTTTTACATTATTTATTTTTTTACACTTTTCATATTTATATTTATGTAAAAAACAAATTTTTTATAATATAAACTTTAAGAAACTTATCGATACATACAAGGTAATGTATCATAGATGTCTAGGTTGTTTTTACTAATAGATACTGCCAACACGTCTGCGGAACAAGTGGAAAGAAAAGCTTGCTTTTCTGGCAGGTCTATTAGTAAAAATTACATCTGGTTTATGGTACAGTAACTGAATAGTTGCTATTAATTGTATGTGTTTATTCATGACTTTTTAATCGGAGGTCGAAGATAATAGAAGCACTTCGGGCCACAACTCGTAACAGTCACTAGTTAGGCATTAAGACCTATAGTGAATGACTTGTTGTGAACGTCTATTTCTTCTTTCGACGGTTTTAAAGGTTACTATTTCGATTAATATTTTGATTTCTTGTTTGCAGGACTGACTAATTAAGGTAATTACTCCTTAAGAAGGTCGGGTGAACGGAAATTAGATATTAATCGTTGTAGGTGATGAACGGATGCATAAAATCAAGCAACTGGAAGCTCTTCGCGGCCACAGTAACTTTGTGGCCACAGTTATTGTGAACGTCCTTGTTTGATTTTTCAATTATTATGCAATTTATTTACTTTTTTTTTTTATACCGGTATAAATGTAGGTTATATCATGCGAAATACGTACCGAAAATACTCAAAACTGACGAATTCAAATAAATTTATTCAAGATTACAATTGTTATATAAAAAAATTAATATATATATATTTTTTAAAATAATTGTTTTTAAATTTATGTAATTTTTATAAATTTATTAAATATTTGAAAATCGGGCAATAAAGAATGTAAAAGTATACAAAATAAATTGTAGATTTTAAAAACATAATTTATCAAAAAGTTATAAATATTGAAAATAAATAATGAAGTCTTAATTAATAAATCGATATCGTCATTTATCACTTAATAAATTATTGTGAATATTTGATTTTACTTAAATTTTTATATAACGAAAGAAATAGTTTTAGGTTATAGAATCAAATTTTATACTAGTTCAAAAATGATTAATGATATAGAGCTTTGCGCATGCGAGAAACATCTAAGAACATTAAAGAGTAAAAACAAATTACTTTTTACTAAAGAATAGCTTTAATCAAACAAAATTTACGAAACATCAAATGCAATTTCGAGTCGTTCAATTGGGTTTAGTATTGTTAAAACTGGTCAAATTGTTCAAATTAACAATAAACTTTATTTTCAAAACACGCTTCAGTAATATATTCATTTGGTAATATACAAGTAGCATAGAGAAAGTATTAGAGGTTCGATCGCCAGACTATAGTAAATTTAATGATTCGAAGTCCTAATACTAAACCTGGTTATTCAAAGCGTGCAACAATATAATAATATCATAAGAAAGAAAATCTCTCAGACTCCCAATTTAATTTTAATCCTATATATTTCATCATGATTCGCGATAATAATTAATGTGTCAATGCACGATTAGTTGTGTAATTTATAATCATAATTTCAAGACTCACCCGAGATTTGCCACACGCATAATTTTATAACAATCGGATCATAATAGTAACCGTTATTATATGAGCACACATTATCAACGTTTAATCAAAAAATGCTTTACTAGCACTCCTTGTATTAACAATACATACATAATCCGAAGAATTTATCAAATAATTCGATTATTAGTCTATTTTAATTAATTATCTATCATATATCAGATGTTCAATAGATAAATAGATAAACAGTTAATGGATGGAAACACTAACACTACTAATCACATTGGATATCTAATGCGGATTTCAAATCTAATAACCTTAATGCATGTCCTACATGCATCACCAAATTATGCTCTTTCACAACCCTCTCTAAAGCTACATTTTTCTTTTTATAGTCCTCAATCAACCCCAATTCTTCTTCATTAAAGTCAGGAAATCGTCTACGAAGTTGCTATTCAGTGGCGGACAAAACCATTGAATTAATGGGATGTCTAATATTAAATAACAATAGATTGATTGTAAACAATTAAACATAAAGTAAATAATACCAGCAGTTTGACTGACAATATTCAACGTATGATAAACGGCTGTTCCCTTGATCTGATCGTTCAAATCTTCATCGGACATATCATTAGTACTTGATATGAAGTCCCATCTATAAACATTCAGAAAAGTGTCAGAAATATTGTAACAAACAATGAATGATCGTTAATGAATAAAACAAATTTAAATCTGATTTTGACTTGTATCTTTACCTTTGGCGCAATACGTGTTCCAGAGAGAACCCATGTTTCTAATGATTTTTCCAGCAAGACAAATAACTCACTATTCACAATGAATTTACATGTTCATAATTAATAAGAGTAGACGCATATAAACAATATAATATAAATATTTTTACCTAATTTGGCGCCTAAAGTTGATACAATCCCACCATCGTCAAGTTTTCCACTTTGCCAAAGATACGAACTTAATTGCCCGATAAATCCTCCAGGGCGAGATATCGAAGAAGAAATAAGTGTGGGTTTTCCATCCGGTTGGCAAACATTAATTCGATACAGTGCAACATGTTCTGTACCAAATATTATTACACAATTTTCTCGAGATGATCCTTTTGTCTAATAGATTGATTATTTAAGCCAAGGTGATTTAAATGGATTATTAAATAAATGAAAAAAAATATAGATATTAACTTACTTCGTGGCATACTAGATATATTCCTTGATCAACTTCTTGAAGGTACAGTTTCAATCCTTTGTAACGTTCAGCTTCTGCCATAGCATAAGATATATATTCCCAATAACGAGACACTCCTTTAGGAATGCCCCGAAGCACACCAGAGGAAGTTTATCTGAATCAATCAGTTCATCATCACAAACGGGCATGTATTACCGGAAATTTTTTTGATAACGATAATTAATTTGCTCGTAAACTAAATGCTACAAGAACAAAAAAATCGAAACGGTTAAAAAAGGAAACGGTGGCCTTACCGCCACGTACTGCATATTAATTATTTTTTAATATTTATTTAAAATGTATTACCCTTATCCTTTCCTACTTTCGGTCAGCCACGTCAATGTCATTTCCGGTTAATGAACTTAATGAACAATTTATATATATTATGTCTATGATTCTGATACGTATTAGCATATTGGTGACATTTATGAAGACGATACTGCCATCTTCCCACAAAAATTGGCAACAATTACTGTGGAGAG